TTATGGTTTCAGGTCTTACATGTAAGTCTTTAATCCGTTTTGAATTTGTTCTCATGTATGATGTAAGTAGGTGTTTCATTTTCATTTTTTTGCACGTGTCAGTCCAATTTTCCCAGCACCATTTATTAAATAGACTATCTTTACGCCAATGTAAATTCTTGCTTCCATTGTCATAGATTAAATGACCATATATGGATGGGTTTATTTCTAGTTTCTCTATTCTGTTCCATTGGTCTGTATTTTATGCCAGTACCATATTGTTTTGATTACTGTAGCCTTGTAGTATGATTTGATGTTGGGTAGCATGATACCTCCCACTTTGTTCTTATTTCTCAAGGTTGCTGTGGCTATTCTGGGTCTTTTATGGTTCCATATAAACTTTAGGATTATATGTTCTATTTCTGAAAAAAATGTCCTTGGTAGTTTGATAGGAATTGCATTGAATCTATATATTGCCTTAGGTAGTATTGACATTTTAACTATGTTAATTCTTCCTATCCATGAGCATGGTATGTATTTCCATTTATTTGTATCTTCTTTGATTTCTCTCCTCAGTGTCATAATTTTGTGAGTACAAGTCTTTTACTTCTTTGGTTAAATTTATTCCTAGCTATTTTATTGTTTTTGAAGCAAATGTAAATGGGATTGATTTCCTGATTTCTTCTGGTAGTTTATTATTGGTGTATACAAATGCAGCTGATTTCTGAATATTAATTTTGTATCCTGCTACCTTACTAAATTCATTGATCAATTCTAACAGTTTTTGGGTGGAGTCTTTGCAATTCTGTATATATAGTATCATGTCACCTGCATCTAATGACAATTTTACTTCCTCCTTTCCAACTTGGATGCCTTTTATTTCATTTTCTTTTCTGATTGCTGTGGCTAGAACTTCCAGAACTATGTTGAATAGAAGTGGTGAAAGTGGGCAGCCTTGTCTTGTTCCCGATCTTAAGGGGAAAGCTTTTAGCCTTTCTCCATTGAGTACAATGTTTGCTGTGGGCTTATCATATATGGCCCTTATTATGTTGAGATATGATCCCTCTATTCCCACTTTGCTAAGAGTTGTTATCATAAATGATTGCTGGATTTTGTCAAATGCTTTTTCTGCATCTATTGATATGATCAGATGTTTTTATTTTTCATTTTGTTAATGTGATGTTATGTTACTTGATTTGCGGATATTGAACCAACCTTGCATACCAGGAATGAATCCCACTTGATCGTGGTGTATGATCTTTTGACTGTAACGCTGAATTCAGTTTGCTAGTATTTTGTTGAGGATTTTTGCATCTATGTTCATTAGGGATATCGGCCTGTAGTTTTCTTGTTTGTAATATCTTTGTTTGATTTTGGGATCAGTATAGTGGCCTCATAAAATGTGCTTGGGAGCCTTCCCTCCTTCTGTATTTTTTGGAATAGTTGGAGGAGAATAGGTATTAATTCTTTTTTGAGTGTTTTGTAAAATTCACCTGTGAAGCCATCTGGTCCAAGACTTTTGTTTGTTGGAAGCTTGTTTACTGCTTCAATTTCTTTGGTAGTAATCAGTCTGTTCAGAGTTTCTGTTTCTTCTTGGTTCAGACTTAGTAGATTGTATGCTTCTAGAAATTTATCCATTTCTTCCAGATTGTTGAATTTGTTGGCATATAGTTGCTCGTAGTATTTTCTTACAATTTTCTGTATTTCTGTGGTATCTATTGTCACTTCTCCTCTTTCATTTCTGATTTTATTATTTTGGATCGTCTCTTTTTCTTGGTGAGTCTGGCTAAGGGTTTGTTGATTTTGTTTATCTTTTAAAAAAAACCAGCTCTTGGTTTCATTGATCTTTTGTAGTTTTTTTG